CTTATTTTACCTCAGCATAATTATTTTGAGATTCATCTATGTTGTGTGAATCAATTGTTTGTTCCTTCTTATTGTTAAATAGTATTTCATTGTATGGCTGTACCACAATTTGTTTATTCACTCAATTGTTGATGGACATTTGAGTTTTTTCCAGTTTTGGTTATTACAAATAGAGCCGCTGTGTACATTCATGTATATATCTTTGTGTAGACATATACTTTCACTTCTTTCTCTCTTTGTATCTACATATATTTGCAGATATATATACACATATATATGCATATCTGCAGGTGTATGTGAACAGATGTATATACATGTAATTAAAAGATACTCTGGTGACTGTCTCATTTCAAATGGCCATTTTCATGTAATAGTCCATGGAAACAAATATTCAGTAAGCTACTCTTTGCTAAAATAATAATAACTCATTTTCACTGAGTTTTTTCCTTTCAATATTTTGATTTTAAGATTTCAAAAGTTACACTACAGGAAAAGAGAAAGCCCCATAGCAGGTTTCAGAGAGAAAATGAAGTTCTCTCCAAAGCCTGCTACCAACACACCCTTCAGCACCCTTTCATGTTCACATTTTAACTTGCTGCAATAGGAATTCAGTACAAGAGGAAGAAATATAATGCATGGTGTAATATGAGCTTTACACAAGACAACCCCTCCAATAATTGGAAGTTACACAGTTTAGAGTGTTCAGCCTGTGCAATAATTAGATTGGAGGTATTTATTGGAGATTAATATGTTGCTGTTGTTGTGAGGTGCTGTTGAGTTGGTTCTGACTCATAGTGACCCTATGTACAACAGAACGAAACACTACCCAGTCCTGCGCCATCCTCACAATCTTTGCTATATTTGAGCCCATTGTTGCAGCCACTGTGTCAATTAATCTCATCAGGGGTCTTTCTCTTTTTCGCTCTCTACTTTACCAAGCATGATGTCCTTCTCCAGGACTGATCCCTTCTGATAACATGTCCAAAGTACGTGAGACAAAGTCTTGCCATCCTCTCTTCTAAGGAGCATTCTGACATTCATGGCAGTCCATGGTATAATCAATATTCTTCACCAACATCATAATTCAAAGGCGTCAATTCTTCTTTGTTCTTCCTTATTCATTGTCCAGCTTTCTTATGCATATGAGGCAACTGAAAATATCATGGCTTGGGTCAGGTGCACCTTAGTCCTCAAAGTGACATCTTTGTTTTCCAACACTTTTTAAAGAAGTCTTCTGCGCACATTTGCCCAATGCAATACTTGTCTGATATCTTGACTGTTGATGCCATGGGTGTTGATTGTGGATCCAAGTAAAATGAAATCCTTGACAGCTTCAATGTTTTCTCTGTTTATCATAATGTTGCTCATTGGTCCAGTTGTGAGGATTTCTGTCTGCTTTATGTTGAGGTATAATCCATACTATGGCTGTAGTCTTTGATCTTCATCAGTAAGTACTTCAAGTCCTCTTCACTTTCAGCAAGCAAGGTTGTGTCATCTGTGTATCACAGATTGCTAGTGAGTCTTTCTCCAGTCCTGATGCCGCGCTCTTCTTCATATGGTTCAGCTTCTCGGATTACTTGCTCAGCATACAGATTGAATAAGTATGGTGAAAGGATACTACCCTGATGCACACCTTTCCTGATTTTAAACCACACAGTGTCTCCTTGTTCTGTTTTAATGACTGCGTCTTGGTCCATGTGCAAGTTGCAGACAAGAACAACAACAGCAAT